TACAAAAAATAAATCAACTAGGATGACCCGAATGATTTCAAAAATCGGTGTAGGTGAGATCCAAGTAATCAGAGTATTATAAATCTCAAATCTCAAATCTCAAATACATTTATTGCATTCCATAATGTGATACAGATATCAAACTTATAATTAAGTTACAATTATGGACCCTGTCGGGCACAGCAAAATGTTAGGAGATAGGAAGAGTTTATTACAATTATTATTGCTGCTATAAATATATACACACAAAATTTGGATTCAACTATAGATAATTTGGTTTTGTTTTAATAGTGTTTTTAATTTAGTCAATATTACTTCATATTAAATGTCATTCTCATATTTAAATACAAACATAAGTTAGTAAGTGCAATTTAAATATCAAATATTATATATCAATGTTTATGTTTATATGATATTAAATGTCGTTCACATACACAATACTACAGAATATATTGGGTTAGTGTAATGCTAATAATTATCATTTCATACAATGGAAACACTACACTAAGTAAAGTTTGTTATAATTTTGGTATTTTGTTCTAAATTAAATATTATAAGCGCTTTATGTATTATTCGATTATTGTTTAAAGAAATATGCATTTGGAAATTATTATCGTGGATTATGTCAATGGTCAATGGCCTTTATTTATTACTCGGAGACATGATTAAATTAGAAGTTTAGGACCAATATATCAAACAATGAATGAAGAACTTTGTAATAAAACCCCTTCAGACGTGACATCTAAGTTTAGTATTTCATTAAATTTTACACAAACATTTAGTCGAGAAGATATTTATGAATGCTCATTGAAAATGTAGAATCTCCTTTAAATAAAGTTATATTCTTAACTAGGGTTTGCCCTCACGCCTGCACTCGATAATTCCTTTTCCCCAGTTTTAAGTTAATATATTTCTGTTCAAAATATCTTCTATTTCGTATATAATGAAAATGAAAGAGCAACTGAACGCGAAGGCAATTTCGGTGAATAGATAGACCATTGCGAGCATTAGGTGCCTCCACTTTTCCAAGTTTCATGTTCCAATAACGGTTAACAGCACATTAAAATTATAGCAGGCTTTAGATAGTTATCGCTTTTTTCGATTTTGAAGTACAAGTGGGCTTTAATTTTTAGTTGAAAGTATTACGTAGTATTGCGAAAACTTAGTTATATGCTATAAAAACAAGTTTGTAACATGGTTTCATAGCTTTATAAAATATTATTATAATACGAAAAGGGTTGATTAGAATTCAATATGAACATCAGGTGATCGTTTTGCTAATTTTCACTTTATATCACAAAAAATTTTAGAGATGATAAAATTTATTTTAATCGAAGCAATGTACCCGGTAATTTTTAATTGTAAATGATCAAGTAAAGAAATGTAGCTCTAAAATAGTTTAAATATAGTTTACTAATAGAAATTATTCCAAATTTCAACATTTATACTATTTATTTTGACATCGGACAAATAAACTGCAAAGACATATATATATAATATGTATTATGATTTTCTAATAGGTAACCATTGGTTTCATTTATAATAGACATATTGTTCTCAATAGTTAAACGTGCACAGCATACAATATGATTGTTCTAATATGGTCAATGAATAATATTCATAGTAATAACTGATAACATAGCGACATTCGAAACAACTAAAACCGGATTCCATCGACAATCTCTTAACCACCATTTATATTTATAAAAAATGATTTGCTCCCGTGATCTGAGAATTTCTGTTAACACATGAAGTCTACTGTTAATAGTGAGATTTACCAAAGTACCGGGCAGCTTCTTTCTATAATCCTTAAATTTTAAGAAAAAGAGGAACCTATTTTAAGAGCACTGTGCTACGCGGTATTCCACTACATAGCGCGTAAAGGAGGAAAACTTTGCTAATGGTATAAAATATCTCTAAAGGGTCCAACCAAGGTAAGTGGTCCAACCAACTTCAGTAAAGTTGCTACTATCCATGCACTCAATATGAAGAATAACAACACTTGACCCACTAAAAAGGTCGAAAGTCGAACAAGGGCAATGCGCACATGGATGAGAAATCTGGAAAGCCCTTAATCTATTCGGATCGGTACAAGGGCCTTGGTGTATCGCCAGCCACAAACCCAGTGCGTCTATACGCAGGTGTATCTCAGAGACTCCTTCAATTTGTTAGGTAATATTTATATAGTCAATTCTGCAATTTAACTTCAGCGCATCATATACAATGTCTTTGCTTATGTGTGAGTTTGCGTGCGTGCATCCATGAAATATGTAAGTATATAAGAATACCGTGTAAAGGATACCAAATTTTATATATTTAGAATTCTCAAAATAAGACAGTATAATCTCATGACAAGCTCAGAACAAGCTGCACTCATAGGTTAAGAAACTTGTAAGAAGTAATGAATTAATAAATAATAACAATAACTGCCGATATTACATGTGCATTACATCAGACAAATTACTTTTATACAAACTTGGCCGTTTATTCATGTTCTTTATTCAATAAAAAATCAAATCAGTCTTCGTCATTTTTCAAAGTAACTCTTTTGAGTGCACATAGAAGGGTCATTTTAGTTGTAATTTATCCATAATATGTATGTTTTTAAAAATATATAAATATGTTTATTAGCAGTCTGGTTACCATAGTGCAGGCTCTGCCTAGTGTGGGATCAGACGGCCGTGTGTGAGATGTGTGAGGAGATATTATTATTATTTTGGTACTGAAGTACCTTTTTTTCTTTTTTTTCCTGTACGGAACTCCCTTCGGATATCACCCACCACTGGGGTGTTTAACTTTTACTCGAACCTTACAAAAACCGCACACCGTCTCCAGGTACCAGTAGCTGGCGAACCGGGTATACCCTAGAAAGGAAAGCCCTGGTACCCCAACGTACCTCGGGCCATCTCCGGCTTATAGATGACCCTCTCCTGTGTGGGAACCTCGATGTTCCCTTCTTGCCACCGAAGGGCGTGCCCTCTCCGTAGCGGGTATCACCCCGGCTTGCTTCTGCTAGGGTGACAGATGGCCTCACCTGCACTTGCAGTCCTGTGCTTATGGAGGACGGAGGTAGTTCTGCGCCCTCAGGAGCCTGAGTCGCCTGCGGTACCCAGCCCGGTCCCGGGCCTGGCGGGCCGGGAGAGTTCTAAACCTCTCCCGGTCCCGCTCCGCAATCTCGTTCACAAGCATAACTTGCTCGCAGAAGGAAATGGCGGAGTTCCACGCACTCTCGTATGCCGACTTGCCGCCTCAAATGAGACCGTGCGGTACCCCCTTATGACCCTGATCAGCACTCGCTGCGGTCATCGCAGTAGTGCAACGCTGCTGGCCTTCAGGGCCTCCATCCATACTCTGGCCCCATTAAGAACCATGGACTGCACAACCCCCGAGTAGAGTCTCCAGCAGCAGCAGGAGTCATCGGGTCCCCTTTTGTTGGGCAGCAACCGAGCCAATGCACGCGCTACTGCACCAACTTGGGGACCAGACCTTGGAAATGATGTCTGAAGTCCCATCGGCCTTCGAGTACAATCCCAAGATTTGCCGATCCGAGTGCCTCCTACTATGAGGCTGGATCCCTTTAGGTGATTTCCTCCGAGGCCCATGAAAGAACAAGGGCTCGGATTTATGAGCCAAGATTGCCGGACGCCGTCACGAGCATGTCGTCCACGTAGCACGTGATGGCGACACCATCCAAGAAGGCTCACCGGAGCACCTAGTCGTAGCCGATGTTACACAAGAGTGGCTCTAACACATACCCCTGTGGAACACCGCACGACATTTCACGTCTACCGAGACCGATCTTGCTTGGGTAGACGACGGCAATTCGTGTGTTACTAAAGTACCTACTAAAGTTTATTTAGTTTTTCCGATTCCGATACTGATTACAATAAGGTACTCGTTTTGTTTCAAGCTACTAGGTATTTGCCATGTTTATTGTAGTTAATATCGGAAACTATTATTGAAAATAAACATTATAGTAATATATATTTATATATATATATACCGTTTATAGTAACTTATCAAGGCAAAGTAGGCTTCTCTTCGAAAATAAGTCTATTCAGTACTGAAAATAAGCGTTTAGGCTTTTGTAGTCGCTAATAAAACAAGTAAGGAGGGGTACGTGATGTGAATTCTATATTTCTAATTCACATCACGTATATCACTAATAATATCTAAATACGAGTAAGTATAAATTTTAAGTATCCCCTATTCAAAAATCGTTTTAACAATCATAAAGGAACTGGTGTTCTCCGAACAGCATACCAGATTTTCTTGAATTAGTAAAGAATTAAGAATGAAAGTCATCTTTCTAACAAAAACGACTAAATCAAAATCTGTTTATCCGTTTAGGAGCTGCGATGTTACAGATATCACACTTCCGTATTTGGCGAAAGTTAAAATAGTAGTTTTCTCAACATATTGTATAAATCAAATTAAGAATATGGTCAGAGATACTAAACATGTACATAATATATGTCAGAAAAGAATAGGTTCTTTTTAATTTCCAGGCATTTGTTAAATACTCTATAACAATGCCAAATCGAATTCTAACTGCTTTAACAACATATTCTCAAATATTATGTCAATAGCATTGCCAACATGTTTCTTTCAGTCTTCAGTAATTACGTACTAATGTTTCTCGTAAATTTAAGTCGTACTTAATGTTTGTCTAAAACAAGCTCAGCTCATTCGACAGTTCAATCGAACATCGATACTCTTTTCTATAAAAATTATCTTATACTCTATTTCCGAACACAATACGAGTATGTTGGTAAGTATGGAAGCAGTCCATATCAAATTAAATCAGTTTAGCATAACGTCTATTGTTTAAATGAAATACCTTTCCAACGAGCGCATATTCACAATAGACTGATATTGGTTTACAGCTTTAAACGATAAAATATATGGGTATACCAATTTATGTTAGTGCATTTTCTAAGCCAATTTCATTTTCTTAGTGACTTCCAAAGGAGCGCTTTATTTAAGAGAACGTAGTAAAAATGGGTCATTTTTCGTTTGCGTTTTTCTGTATATTTCTGTCTATAGGTTAGTATAGATATATTTTAGATAGATGGATAAACACTTTTCTGTTATCATCAGGTTATAAAAAAAGAACTTGTGTATATATTAATCTTACAAAATTATTTACTTTAGACAATTACAATGCTCCCGCAATATACGATCTCTCTGAGTCGGCCGGTGAATAAAAAGCTTGAAAAGTTACAGTGCAACATTTTAAACAAACGTAAACAAGAGTATTTTAAACAAATAAACTATATGAAATAAACACTAATCGTTTTGTTGTTAGGGCTTTAAATGAAACAAAGAGTTCTCTTGGAGTCTTCTTGTTGTACTAATTTTTTTTTATTTGTTGACAGTTAATAGTGAAGACTATGGTTGGAAACGAGCAAACATTAATGGCATAGTATCAGATATGGAGGGCAACATTTTTCCTGTACAAGGTTATATAAATGGTCAAGGAAACTATGCTGGATTGGAACAAAGAAGTGTGCCCTCCATATCCTGTTTCAAACATGGTGCCCCACAAGACGTGCAACTTGAACAACCAGAACCATCACCAAGTAGACGCTCATTTACTTTCATCAGTGAAAGAAATTTTGAGTCTACTTCACAACCATTCTTAAAATATGAAAATAATCAATTTAGTAGAACAGAGAGTAAAGAACCTTGGCCTCCGCAATTAAACAATTCTGAAGACAATTTACCTGAAAATCAAGTTTCCTTACATGAAACCAGTCCTACGCCTAATGAAAATCTTATTAATGACGACATTATTGAAATCACACAACCAATCCCAGAAACAACTACACCAGTAATTGAAATGCAAATGAACCAAGAAATAGTACCAACAGAACTAGAATTAGAGGAACGCAAAAAATCTAAGTTTGGCGTAGATCCTAAAATGCAATTTAGAAGCCAATCTCCAGTATCTACTGAAACTCCAAATTTTCTAACTGAATGTGCAGATAAAAGCAAATTTGATAGCTTTAATAAACCGCCAAGGCGCTTCTTAGGAAAGTTGACTAATGATGTACCAAGTCAAAAGAAAATTTTGGAGAAAAATAATGGCCAACAAACACATAGTTTCAAAGCAGTTCAATTGCCTCAAAACAATGGAAATGATGTAATCAACGAAAATGGTACGGTATATAAGTTTAATGTTTACAAATCTCAAAACAGTGAAAAATCTTTACAACAACCTACCGAAAACATGATAGGACAGGCTGGCAGTATACGTTATACCTATAATAATAATATCTACACTAAAGTGAAGGACCCCGCCAAAGGCAAAGACATTACATACATTAATAAAAACACAAGAATCAATTTATTGGATATTGATAGAGTGTGCTATGCTTGCAGCACTGAAAATAACCCTACATGTTGGTTACCGGACAGAAGAACAACTGTGAAATATTGTCGTAAAAGCGATAATGCATGTGTGACGAAAACCTTTGGATCTGAAAGTAAGTTTTTACAAATTTACTATCAAATTTGACCACTTATATCTATTCCAATCCGACGTCGAAAAGCAGTTTTAATATCCTTCAATTCAAATTCAATTCAAAATACCTGTAATAATAATTTGTCGTCAGAATCGGAATCCTAGATATCGACATATCGAGCGAAGTCCAGTTTCGGGGTCACTTAGAGGGTAAGGTCAAATTGGCCTCAAAGAAGCTCGGTGTGCTGAACAGATCGAGGCAGTATTTCACTCCGGCCCACCGCCTTCAGCTCTATAATGAAGGGGCAACTCAGTACCAGTTTTTCACTCTGAACCGCATCCAACAAAAAGCGACTCGAATCGTCGATAGCCCAAACATCCGATCGGCTCGATCCCTTGGCGTTACGTAGAGATGTGGCTTCACTCTGAATTCTCTATCGCATATATCATGGATAATGCTTCGAGGAATTGTTCGGACTAATACCGGCCGCAACTTTCCCCTATCGTTCCACACCGCACAATTGTCATCCTCATCACCTGGATAGTTGGCGCTCCACTACTGTGCGCTTTTCGAGACACTTTTTTCAGGCGCCGATGGTCGCTTTCCATCAGGTGGCCCGTCTGCTCGTCCTCCCCCTCTGACAAAAAAAAAAACTATTTATTTGCTTCTTCGGTTTTGCTAATAACACACAGCAACACAGATATACTTTTCAAGTTTGATTGTTATATGAATAAAGCATGTTGTCAGGGTATACGAACATTAACTCTATAACTTGTTACAGGCAATTTTATCCTGATCCGGGATTGCGGGAAAACCTGCAATGATGATGAAATACCAGGATTAGTTCCTAAGTATAAAACGTGTTCAGTTTGCTATAAGGACCTTTGCAATGGCTCTCAGGCCGTTAACGCTTATAGTATAATGCTTGCATTACCAGCTATTATATTAATTGTTTTATTAAATCCTATATTGGTTTTTAGTTAAATCTGAAATCTTAATTTATTCAAAGCGTAGAAGTAAATTTCTATAAAAGTAATGAAAGAAGAATATAGAACATCTACATTGGTAAGTCATTTACTCCCATTCCGAGAAGGAAACAAAAACCTACCGAATTCCGAAAGCGAATTCCTTCACTTTATTTTATTGCTATTCACAAATAAATTGATATAGGAATTGGTTTGTTTAATTATCTCATTTAAAGAATATCTGTTCATACAAATAAATAAAATTGAAGTGTCTGTTTGTAATCTCAAAATAATAGGTTTTTTTCATGCTTACACGGTTATTTGCACGATACCTATACCTAAATCCCAGTTTAAATATTTTTTGCCTGTCTGTTTGTTCCGGGTAATCTTCAAAACGGTTTCACCGATTTTGATAATATTTTACTACCAAATAAGTGTCTATATATGGAGTGACTAAGGCCATTTTTCTCTCAGAAAAACCCTATAACATTTTGCCGGTCCAGGAATCGAACCCACTAAGGCAGCGCTTTTCAAATTCCTCGCGAATGAAGTCGTGGGCACCACTACTACCTACCTATGTAATATACGTGAAGTCACAATTTTCGAAAAACGTTCCTTTTGCCTTGCATCAAAGTTACTATCATAGCTTGTCTAAAATCTTATCTTGCAATTGTTTAGTAAATAAATTAAATAAATTAAATACATTTTGAGCCTCGTTTGTTATTGTGTACCAATAACCAACGAGGCTCAAAATTTACCCAACAAACATACATCGTACGTACAGTGCGCACCATTAAACCTTTAAAACTACATCCTGGCGTTGTAGTTATGGATGCTGTAATTACCTGAATATATACACATGACAAGGGAGTGGTGAATGAGTAATGTCGAGACATGACGGAGGTATTGTTATGTGTATGTTATTGAACTCGTTACCATAACATGAAACATGACTAAAGTATCAACAGTAGTACAGCAGAAATATTTTATTATTTGACAAGCATTCGCACTCTCAAGACATCCGAGAAGTGATGAGAGCATCAAGTTACTTCCATCAGTGAGTCCCATTCCAATCTCTTATTATTATTATTATTAATAGCCTTCATTCGGGCACAACTATATATCTTTGACATTAATATATCATTATTTTTTTCCATGTTTGTGTGTCCGTTTGCCAGGTGGCAAAGACTTCCTCCAATCTTCTCTAGGCCTTTCTCTGGCCACTCTACCCCATGTTATTCCCGCGACTTGTCTAATGTCATCCTCCCACCTTCTCTGTGGTCTACCTCTCTTTCTTTTTCCATCCCTTGGGTACCATGGTGAGATTATTTTACTCCATTTATCCTTTCCGATTCCAACCTTTTACCAGAACATTTTTCAACTTTAGAATTTATGCAATTTGGGATTTATATATCAACATACATTGCATGTAACATATTATATCATATACGTATTTGTTTGAAGGTCAGAGTGAAGCAATGTTGGTGATTGACTGATATATTATTAGATTCCTATGACTATGACTACCAAAACGCAGAGATTACATTACAAAAGCCATTTAATGTTCCACAATGAACGTGTTATCTATATTCATCCGTCCATAAAGTTATTAGTTAAATATTATGTTGAGTATTAATAGTATTGTATATTGGTATATCAATTTATAATAAGCTAACTTGGAGAGCAATATCGACAAGGGCAATTTAGGTGCGTTACCTTTATATTTTTATTTTCACAATATAATTTTTACAATTATTGTTTTCTATAATGGATAAAATATGAATTATTTCTTAATCTTGTAATTACCGTGAATTTACAAAATGATACATAGAGTTGTAAATGTAAAACTCAACTAAATGAAAAATTAGGCTTGGATTGGGATTTAAATCATTTTTTTAAAAGTATATTACCAACGAAATATATGGCGTCTAATATTGCGAGAAATATGGCTCGTACAGAAACACGATAACTAATAAACACAAAACGGAACACCGCAACGTGAGAAGCATATGCTCACACGATAAAACTCATACTGCAGAAATTGCAAATCTTATAAATAAAATATCACATTGAACATAATTTAATTAATTTTGATTTACAAATAAAATAAACTATTGTTAAAGTAACAAAAAAAAATGTATAACTACATTTCACTTTTTGCTCTACTGAGATTGTTTCTTAATTACGACGACAATGAATCTCCAAGCTTTAATAACACTTTAGAAGTCATAGATAATCAGGTATCGAACTCCTTTACTTAGTTTGTACTTTCTGATTTGCATTTTTTCTGTGTTTATGAATCTTTTAGTATCGAAGTACTGCAACTTATTGCAGTACTTCGATACTATTTGAGTCGAGTTTCCCATTAGAATTTGCGTTTTTCCGTTCTATAAAAAGTTGACCACTCACTATAGCACCCGCATTAAGAGACGCATACCCAAAGACTAAATGTGGTAATAGAGAGTACAATCCCGACAAAACTACACATATGATATCGGCTTAACTCAAAATCTAACGCTCCATCATTTCACGGATTTGGTGTACTGAGCTCATACGCCGGCAAAGCCAATGTTGCACTTTTGCAGAAATTGAAAACCTTGATGAGCCTTGTTCTTTAAAACAGAATCTTGATTAATCTGAACTGGTAATAATCTTATTGCATTTACTGGAACTTTAAAATGATGTATTCTACTCAAGAGGTCCACCATTTGGTACTTAAGGATCATCAAATAGAATAATTAACACGAAGTATTGTAGCAACTCATTAAAATAAATAAAGTGTTGTGCAACATAGATTTTACTGGCAACAACTAACTGTCGGGTAGATACAGACCTCTACAGCTTGGTAAAAAAGGACTTAGTAGATCTTCCAACGCTCTCGAGCAATCTCTTCTTTCTATTGCAAAACTATGATCGAGACTTAAGACTATCAGAATGCTAGTCCAGGACTAATTCCAGTTTAAAGAATTAATCGTTTTTAGTAATTCCTAATTAACAATATCAGTTACAGATTCTACAACGTCTGTAACGCTGCTGTTTATCAGTTGTTTGAGTTAAATATGTAAATTGTTACAAATTGCTGTTTATTTTCACTTTGTGCTACTTACTTTAATTCTAGTTAGATGCATTGAACAATAGGTAATGTTCCGTAAATCCAAACAATAGTTATTATTAGCAAACTAAAGCTTCTGTTATCAATGTATACCATATTTATTTTAAAATAATCAAAGTTCCTGTAATATATAACAGTAAGTATGAAGGCCCATTTGGTGATTTTCTCAATGTCGATAAAATGCAATTGAAACCAAAAATCTATTAAGATAATACTCCCTTTTTAAAATCTGGCAACGCACTTGTGATCCTGAGTTTTAGTAGTCCATGGGTCGTCACTTTTTAATAATTAAACCATCCATTTGGTCGCCACTTACCCAATATATTAATAAACAAAAAATATATAATTTTGCGACTGCTGTGCTGAGGCTGCTGCTGCTGTACTGATATACATATTTCACGAAGACTGGTAAACGATTTAATGTTTACCATAGGAGAATACTCAATTACAAACTCCTTTTGAGTTTTTTGAGTCTTAAAAGTGCCTGTAAAATCTTTCAAATTAATTACCCACTTTTATTAAATTGAAACGATTTAAGAACATGTTTTTATTTGTGATGTTCCGGATTATGCCTCCGGGTGAGCAATTTTTTATTGTTGTTAGCAAGTTGATTTATTAATTACAAGCTAACTAAACAACAGAGAACACGGTAAGAAGGTTCCATTTCTTTACTTAAATTTTTGGTTTTTATTTTGCTAATAATGATGATAGACATTTAATATATATATAGACATATATATATATATAGACATTCATAGAAAATCAAAAACGGGGCCTACCCACGTTCCGCATTCCGGTATATAACATTAATATGTTATGTTTTACCTTATGTTCCCATTCCTATTTATTTATTTAGTATATTTATTATTTATTTATTTATTTAATATATATTTTATTTATTTCCTATATCGCACTATTCCTGATAAGTAAATATTTTAAGGTTGTACGAAAAAAACCTCTTATTATTTCCAGACCC